CATGATAGTGGATGTAAAACCTGTTCAATAGACAAATACATCAGAGTGATTACTGATTTTAGATACTATTTCAATACAATCATAATCCTGCTCTCAAAATTGACTTATAGTCAAATTCATGTATTGAAACTAGCTCCATTAATATCTGGGATTAGGATTATGATACAGGACTTTGTTGTAACTACCTGATTACAAGATTTGTGACTGTTATATAAACTGGTATTTTGTAGAAAGTTTTATTTTGGATTCTCATAGGCGGTATGTTGATAAAGTCTGTGTGTAGGTTTAAGTCTCAAATATTCACAGCAACACTTCTTTTCTCTGTATCTTTTTTTAACTGCCTAATTTAGCAACAGTTTGTGAAAGAGAAAGAGAAAAATGTCTGTCCCTCTGACTTTCTTGACAATAGGACTGAGGACCAGATAGTTATGAGATATCCACTGAATTTATGTTTCATATTAACCCCTAGAGACTGGGATCCTTCTACACGTGTGACTGTCATGTAATAGTTTTAGCTTCCGTCTCCTGTAGTGACTTCCGTATGACTTCCGTATGACTTTCATATGACTTCAATTAAAAGGACAACCCCTGGTTTTTGAGAAACAGAACAAGTACAGATATCTGAATGTCTGCCAAAAATATGTATATTTACCTTGTTTCTGATATATATAAGATATAAAATGTTGAGACTTTCTGACTATGATGCTTTCAGGCAATTATTGAAAGTCATTGGTAACAATGGAAGTTACAAGTGATCTTGGTTGCCGAGATGTTGATGTTGATATATACAGCAGCTGTGGTCGGGTTTAATCTTCCAGTAAGCACATGGACAAATATACCTTTACAATGTACACAATATCTCTATATATATGTATATAGTTCAGGATTACATATGATAGCAAAAAGATAGAAGTAGACATCTTAGCATTTAACTCTGATGCTCTCTAGCTGTCATTGACCGTTTGGCGTAGAATTCATTGATAGGTGCTGCAGAAAATGGCCTTGAAGTTAATACAAACAGGTACTGAAATGTTTTATATCAACAGATTTTGTGTGTTTAGATTTTCTGTACGTAAGAACTTAGAGATATTCTAAGACAGTTGATGTTAATATAGTTTTAACCACTCTGTATCATGATACAAGTATAGTATTATACAGAAAAGATGATCTACTTGAAATTTTACTTGTTAGGGTTGGCCTTCTCTGTCTTAAGAGAACGAGGACCACTGGTCATGAGTCTACATCAAGACTGGTCTGAATGCTTATAACTAAACCAGAATTGATCTGATTGATTGTGATCAAATCATAATTTATCTGACTGATCATGATTGAACCATGATTTACCTGACTGATCATGATTGAACCATAATTTACCTGACTGATCTGACTAATCATGATTAAACCATACTTGATCTGACTAATCATGATTGAACCATGATTTACCTGACTGATCATGATTGAACCATACTTGATCTGACTGATCATGATTAAACCATACTTGATCTGACTGATCATGATTGAACCATGATTTACCTGACTGATCATGATTGAACCATGATTTACCTGACTGATCTGACTAATCATGATTAAACCATACTTGATCTGACTGATCATGATTGAACCATGATTTACCTGACTGATCTGACTAATCATGATTAAACCATACTTGATCTGACTGATCATGATTGAACCATGATTTACCTGACTGATCTGACTAATCATGATTAAACCATACTTGATCTGACTGATCATGATTGAACCATGATTTACCTGACTGATCTGACTAATCATGATTAAACCATACTTGATCTGACTAATCATGATTGAACCATGATTTACCTGACTGATCATGATTGAACCATACTTGATCTGACTGATCATGATTAAACCATACTTGATCTGACTGATCATGATTGAACCATGATTTACCTGACTGATCATGATTGAACCATAATTGATCTGACTGATCATGATTGAACCATAATTGATCTGACTAATCATGATTGAACCATAATTGATCTGACTAATCATGATTGAACCATAATTGATCTGACTAATCATGATTAAATCTGAATTGATATGACTAGTCATGATTGAACCATAATTGATAATTAATCAATCAGAATTGATCTGCTTCATAACCCTCTGTTTGTGACACTTGGTATCTTTTCTGTTATTCTCTTGATCTTTTTATCTTTTATTAGTGTGTTCCTGTAGGCACACGCTGCATGTATCTCTAGCTGTTTGCAAAAACATCTAACCCTATATTATAAAGCTATGTAGATAGGATTAAAAATTTGCTTAAAGAGAGTTAATGATATGTTTGGACTGCTAATCAGTTGAAAAATACATCTTACAACCTATAAGCTTATAAAGTTTAAACTAGGTTCCTGGCCAATACATTTGTTATGTTATGCAAATCTGTTGTCTGATGACTTGAGGGACTGACTCCACATGTGCCTTGTCCTAAATCTTTCTCTCCCTGGCTCATATGCCCAGCTCTTGTACTGATCCAATGTGACTACTTGCCTTGTCTTATATCTCCGTCCCTAATGCACATGTCCAGCTCTTGCATGGATCAACTCCAACTGATTCCAAGCCTTGTTTTAAATCTCTGTTCCTAGCACATGTCTGTCTAATTAGTAACTCACAGCTGATCTGTTCATTTAGTAGAAGTTTTATATCAGAAAGGATATAGCTTAGCTTCATAGCTGTGTTTAGCATCACACAAATAAAAATTTAGCAATCTGGATATAAAATGACATGTAATACACTCATGTCTCATTATTGTACAGATTTAATATTGGCTGTCATGTCAATGTATTGGGAAAGAACTATAGTGTCATCACAAATAACCAAATATACTGTGTTCATTAGAAGGGTTTGCTGTTGCTGGGAACAAATGAATTGTGCACAATATATGTGAATGATTTAGAATACTTTTATACTGGTGACCTTGATTTCATACATATCTTATATCTTATCTGATTTTAAGGATGGTCTTTGACTGTCTTGATGTGACTGTGTCAATATGTAGTTCATACTTTAACTGAACAATATATAAACTTACCAGAATAAATGTGTGTGTCATTTGTGGTGTACAACCAGTCTGTGATCATGGACATTTTTATTGGTATAGAATGGTCTTGGTTGAATACCAGCAAAAAGGCTGTTTAGGGGTTTACACTGTCCACAATTCATAAATTATCGTAGCTCAAAACGAGTTGGCATACGACAGCAACATGAATACATATTACCATTGAATTGTCTTGTTATGGTGTTTATGGATGTTATAAACATAGTATCATAGTTAGCTCCTGTCAATTATGATGATGTAATGCTCATAAATACCATGATAAAATAGCTCAATGCTTAAGTAAGTTCTGATTAAGGAGACAGGCAGTACTGAGTGGGATGCTTGTTATTGACAGGCATGTTTGTACATAAACTACTTATGCTTAAATTCAAGTAATAGATTCTATAATACAGCCATTTTTGTAGAATAATTAAACCATGACAATTTAGATTTTGGAACAAGACCATATCTGATGAAAAATTTTGAAATGTTTACTACATTAAATGTACCAGTATTTACTTTTTTTGTTTCAATACCGAAAAATTGTTTGAAGTCGGTACTTCTTGAAAATTACTAAGGATTCCAATTTCATTTATATTATGTACTGTGAACAGTATTGATTTACATCAAATCAGGAAGTCCTGTCAGCCAATTCAATCAGGACATGCAAGATTGAATGATTGAAGTGGGTATTTGGGCCAATCTATATATTGATCTCTGGTGTTATGTGTTAAGGATGTCCTGTTTTCATGTGAACTATTGCACACAGATCTTACCCTGTCCAAATGAAAAAGAGGGAGCTCTCACTTCTGGTGATGATAAAACAAAGTATCAAGATTTGTATTTATCATTCCACACAATTTCTTCTTGACATATAATTTCCTCTCGATCAGTTCTGTACACTGAATGCTTCAGTAGTACTATCGTAAGGGCCTTTTGGGTCAAGTTGAGTATGCTTGGGTAGATTTTGTCTGAAACTTTAATGGTCAAGCTCAGGACCATGCTTCATATTCTTATTTAGTCTTTATACCAAATCAGTTGTCTGCTAATTACCATGTCTTCAAATAAAGTTACATGAATAGTCCTGTTCTTTACCCAGAAAAGATTTTGAGGATCATTGTATTTTGCTGTCTATGTTCTGAAATAAAAGCATGTTAAAAAAGTGTTCATGTTAGTTTACTTATCAGTATAAAATAAATGTATGATGTACCTCAGGCTTAAAACCTTAATAGATAGAAATTGAATACACTATTTTATGTAGCTAAGTAAGTGACAATCTAAAGTAGATCAAGTTATACTTTGGGTGGTCGGCTGGCGCAGTGGTAACACACTCGCCTTTCACCTAGCCGACCGGGGTTCGATTCCCGGAACGGATGTGAAAAGGTAAGGGGTCACCTGCCCGATCACATGGGTTTTCCCCGGGTACTCCGGTTTCCTCCCACAATAAGACCCCTCGTGCGCTTACATCCAGGCCAACAAGAGTGATTAGTATAAGTTGACATAACTTGTTTCGCAATTGTTGTAAAATAAATAAAGTTTATATAAGTTATACTTTTGACCTTTTTTGACTTGGAATAATTCCTGTGTGAAATAATTACAACTTATTCTGCCCTAAGAGTTACTTCCCCTTTCTCTCTTAACAATACCATTACAGAAATGATATGTCTTAACAAGAAATGATGTGTCTTAACAAGACCATTACAGAAGTGTATTTTCAAAAGTGAGTTTATCATTCACAGTCATTAACTTCAAAAATGTTTGAAAGGTTGTGTTAGCCTTTTACTTGCTTAATTTTGCTTCACTGTGCATTTCAAATTCAGTGCTTAAGTTGTTCACAGCTTTGTCAAAATACCACATGTACATTAGTTGTATTAAAAGATAAGCTGTACATGTGCTAATCTGTTTGCATACTTGTATATTTCAGTCTCATCACCAAGATGCTACAGAAGGACCCGGCTGATCGTATGTCGCTGGACGACATAGTAAACCATGCCTGGCTCAAGTCCGACGATTCCACATCAGTGCGGATGATGCCACTTATCTCTCGAGAGCATCTGTGTGAGGAAGACCACAACTACCTCGTCAATAAAATGGTGGAGGGCAACATCGCAACAAAAGAGGAAATATTACAGTAGGTTATAGTCAAAAGTCAAATATCACATAAAACATAACATCTTCACATCTCTGACATGGTGTCTTTCACAAAAATTTGATTTACATAGAAACAAACAAGAAATGTTTTGTTATTTTCTCAAATACAAACCCTTGCAAATATATGTGTTTGAAAGAACATTTGTCCAGGAACTCTGTTTCTGGCTGATAGCTGATGTATTTATTGATGGATATACATTAATGTGTTCAAGATATTCACTTCACAAAAATATACAATGAGGTAAAGAAAAGCACAGTCAAAGGTTAAGGTCAGTAGGTCAAAGGCCAAGGTCAAATTTTGTACCTTTTCATGCGTGAAAATTTTCTTAAGAAATTGTGAAGCAAAGTTGGTCAGAATCAAAGAATTAAGCGACATGTCACCTGACCAAAGGTCAAGGTAAAGAAATAGATTCAAATATTAAGGTCAAATTTTGTATCTTTTTACTTTTTGTTGACAAGGAATGAAACAAGGAGTGACTTCACCAAAGGTCAAAGCCATCAGTATTTCCACTAGCCTTTCCCATATGGGTAGGTGAAGGAAGAAAATAAAAGCGATTATTTTTGAAGTTCAAACACTATGATTAATGATATTGGGGGATATGTAGCCACACAATGGGGCCCTTGCTGACCTGTCATTGTTTCTGGTCTTCTTGAAAACTATATGTTCCATTTAAATTCTACATAGCAAGTAAACTGGTTATGTTTCAGATCATTAGAAAAAGACATGTATGACCATATAGCAGCTACGTTTTACCTACTGGCAGAGCGTAAACTGAAGCGACAACACCAAGAGCAACACAACACTACGGTAATACGGAAGCACTCAGCACCAGCCTCTCACAGTCACAGCAGGCCATACCTGGAGCCACTAGCACTATCCCCTAGGTATGTAGCCCCCACCCCTCTACAGAAAAGCATATACCATGTTGCCCAAGGGCAAGGGCTTGGAAAGTGTTAGCTTTGGTGTCGTCATTTCATATTTATACTATATATATTTGAATGGCTAACTAGCTGAATTGGAAGTGCCATGTTTGAAACTGTTGAAGAATGCCTGAGTTTTTACTCTGTAAAAATTTTAGTAAGGCTGATGCATCATTGGTTTCTGCAGGTGTTGTAGGAACATCGGGTTCAGGAAGACTTATTACAGTCGCTTTACTTGGTAAATTTTTCCCATAGAATATATACAAACTTTTTCCAATGATAGAACAGAATATGAAAGCGTCCTCAGTATGATAGACATTTGAAATTGAATTGAAGAAACTCTGTGCTGTAAGTATTATTCAAATTTAATCAAGGAAATGGGCGGATAATTTCTTTTTATTCTGATCCCAGACCAGGGTATTCAAGTACAAAGTCACATTGGCAAGGTGAAATCAATACTGATTAAAACTGTAGTATAGTGTATGTATGTCTATACACAAAAAAGCATTCACAAACTAATAGAACTGATGGGCACAATTTTGACAAATCTCACTGCACTTTCAACATCATGCTTTTATTCAATTTACAGTAGTTGTAGGTTTGGACACAAACATTTTATTGGCTTGAAACAGTGCATAGTAAATGAAATATGAAAGTGATTATCACAAATCTTTCCTTAATTAAAGGATTTAGATGATGTTATCAGTTATTATGCATATTACTAATGGCATCAGGAGACATTTTCTCTTCACTTGAAGATCAAGAAGATGGGAAAGACTTCTGAACAATGTCTGTTTGTACATGGTATTAAGAAGTAGTACCACAACTCTGAATTAGCTCAGTATATTAAGTATATCTGGTTAGTACCAGTATAACTAAAAATGAACTGCTGTGAAAAGCACATTGATATAATATGAAATCATAACTGGTAATTTCAGACTCCAGGAACTTGAGGAACACTTATCTACTGGTAAAGAACCATTCATGTACGTTTCGCTTTTTCATGAAATCATGCCTGTTGAATAGGCTGTCATATGGGATGTAGAGAGACTTGCATCCTGGTGTAGCACTTGATTACCTCCCTTCCTCCTGGGCTTTCCTTTCCCTGCCATCTTCTGTAGCATCACATTTGCCTTTAGGTGATGGATTTTGTGGCTAGCTGTTTGAGGTCTTTGTGTTTTGGAGACTTTTTATACAAAATATAATGTTAACTTTAGAGAACATTATTTATTTGTTTTTAATTTTTTTTTCTTTTTCTCCTTGGTCATATTAAAATTCAGAGCCATTTGAGTTCAATCCATGTGACAATGTTTCATTTTCTTGTATTTATCAGTATTGGTATCATGACTGTGGTATGTACTTTAATGTTAGACATGCTTAAAATTATTTTGTTATGATGTGCTGTGAAGTTGTTCATGCCACGAGCCTCAACAAATAGTAGCCTACAGCTACCAAGTCCTCATGCAAGTAAACACTTCATTGATGTGATGTGAAGTTATAGAAGTTTTCCTTCCAGGCACATTCCAACTGCAAATCATTCCTGAAATGAATGTGTTTTATGCCATACATTGGTCATGTGCATCCTTTTTTGGCTTAAAGATGAGAACTTCAGTTTGAATTTTGCATTTAAATTTATTTGATTATGTTAACAGCTATATTTAGCAAACACTTGATTATCTGATATTTAAAAATTCAAATACAAAAATGACATCCTATATAGGTCTCTGGTCTCTCTGACTAAGGTATAAAATAAATATGACATTGTAAAGGTTGTAAGGAATTCCTATTGCAGAAGACAAAATGTTTTCAACTAGAGCAATGCTTCTGTTACTTTTACTGGCCACAAAGTTGTTTTAGTCATTGATTTCTCTATTCTAGGTTTGAAAACAGATCAAAAGGACAGAATGGTATCAACTTTATGTTGACTAAATCTTCATATATGATCATAATGTTAAATCCTTGCTAATAGTTCTTGTTGGCTTGGACTGGAATGAAGGGAATGGTAGTCTTACACTTTTTTCTGATATTATCTCTACCTTTAGAACAAATGCCCCCTTAGTAAATGGAGTACATATCAGGATGATAGTTGTTGCCTGCTAACCAGGCATTCATTTAAACAATACAAATATTATAGAGAGTGAAAAACTTTAATAGACAGACGTAACTGGTATGAAAGCAAGTTTTTTCTTTTCCTCTGGACATATTTGACTCAGATGAGACCTATTCGATTCATTTATCTTGACTAGCTAAAAAATCATTTGGTAGGTAACATGTCTTTCACATAACAAAGAAGACACTTCTCTATATCAGATGCTTCTAGCTTGCTGTTGCTTCTACTTGCTCTTTCTGTTTCTGAAGATTGCAGCTTGAGGCCAAAAAAACCAGGACAACTCCTTTGGGTGCATTTCTAAGCCCTACTTTGGAGATCCCTGCGAGTCCTCCTATCGTTAGTGCAGATCCTCGTGCCAACTACTTTGTAAAGAGCCTGACAACAAGTATGACCCTGGACCGCAAAGCTGGTCACCTGAAAAACAGGCGTAACCAGTCCGACACTTTGGGACTCCTTCCACCAGATCGATCATGTAGTGTCAGTCCAAAGGTCGGTCTACGGAAGTTCCTTCCCTCCCTTGGTACCATCACGGATAGCTGTCAGTCAAGTAATAATACAGACCAGCTGGAGAAGAAACCAGACATCCCACCAGCAACAAAAAAGTTTGTTCCCATTTCCAAGATCCAGATATTAAAGTCATTCTTTGAGAGGAAAGTGTCAACAAAGGGGAAGAGTGGAGGTTTTGACAAGATGCGGGACCTGCATAATCGGATTTGGAGACATCACAAGAAGTAATTATGGCATGGTGTCCTGCCTGCAGTTCACTCCATTGTGACAATATTGGCGTCGGTTTGGTAGTCCATCTCTCACACCGCAAGTTGATCCCTTGACTAACGGCACGCTCTGCATCCTATCAATCATATCTCCAAACTAACCATTTGATGACCATCTTTGTAGTTTAGTGAATGATGGTTAGATTGTCAGTGATGTGGAAATGCTCAGTTCAGTCCAACTTAATGCAAAGCACCCATCACTCGGACTGTTAGCAGAGAACCTATTGTGTCTGGAACCATCATCCTGAATGGAATTCACATCTTAAATTTCTAAAATAGTCTTCCATTCCAAAAAAGATATTTTTTTTGTCTGTTGTGATGTCCTTGAGATAGTTTAGTTAGAATAAGCATGGTGATGAACTGACATTGTTACGGACTGTAGACCACAGAGGTCCCTAACACTGCATGGTATACCATGACCTGTCTACATCCACTGTCCATTCTGTCTGCCTGGGTCTTGGCCTGCATGTCATCTATAAATCTACCGTCAGCAACAGTAACAGAATGGATGCAACAGGTGTAGATTGACCAGTTTCTTCATGCATGTTTACAGCCCAACCCCGAGTACTTCAGAAAAACTTCATCTGACATGTTACAACAAAGAATCTGTGTCATGTTTGTTTGTTCCCCCCTTTAATTTTTTCCCTTTTTTGAAATGGAGAAAACAAACATACTTGATGTACAGGTACATTATATTATGGAATCTTTTGCTACTGTCAGTGCCCATTGGTCCTTAGCCCATGGTTATGAGTTAACCATATGGAATTTAGTCCTTTCAACAAATGTTTTTTTATCATTGAGATTTTGATTCATTGCAGAATTGCAGTGTGCTTAGGGGCTCAGCCACTTGTACAAATAGAAAATGATAGATTAGATTGCATTTGTTTTTACAAGTACATTTTAGAAGCTTAAAGTTTTCACTGTTAGAATTGTTATTGAAATAAGAAATTGATAACAAGATAATGAATTAATGTACCGGTGTGTACACTCAACTGTTTCTGTGGGGGACAGCTGACCAAATTTCGTGTGTTAGATCCTGAATGGTTATTTATCACATAGCTACCCTGCTAATGTGTAATAACACCCATTACATAAATATTGCTATAATCACCTGTGTTACGACACCTAGAAAAGCTGACATTAGCTGAAGGGTCCCATTGTCTTTGTTGTAATGTCATAAATTCATTAGCATCAAATGCATTATGATGTCATCAAAGAGAAAGAAATGGAGCACGAATGTCGTCAGTTTAGATTCTGAATTAGTCAAATAAAATGCTGTTTCATGACTCTAAAGTATCAAAGTAATGTAATAAAAATTATCACAAGCATCCATTTCCTGAGATTTTTTTTTAAACTTATCAGAAATATTTCATTCTATTTTATCAATGGATTATGAAATTTGAAAAATTCCAAAGACTCTTAAGTCTGATATAAAATGTGAACTCGAATGTGATGCTCTAGGAATATCATACTAGACACGCTGGATTTTCTTGTCAGTCAAATAGTCAAATATAGAGTTGATGCATATGACTGTAGTAAAATAATATTTGCATTAGCATTAAATTTCATAGTAGCATGAACATTTCATAAAAGTAGCTAGGTTGTCATATACAGCAAAAGTTAATCTGAGGCTGAAGAAGGAGGTAAAAACAGATGAAAGATCCGAGAAAGTGAAAATAGAATAAATTTAAATATTGTCCTCTACTTTTTGAATGCAAGGATAGTTTCATTTTAGTGTCTTCTCTTTTATGTACAAACCGCTTGGATGACTGAAATTGTGTCTTGCTTAGGTCTTGTAGCTGTGTATTACTTAGCTGTAAGAGTGGATTTGATGAGCACAAAATCCAGAAATTGTCCAACTGTTGGTACATATATTATATTGCCTTACGATTTACACTGTATATTGCCTGATTGTTGGAGCCACATGCATTTGATACTATACCTGTTTGAGCCAGAAATTTGCTGTCAGATCCATGTATTGCCTTTTGTGTTGATACTAAAACTTAAATCTTGTGTAATGTTCCTTTTCAAAAGGGTCAAACAGCGTGGTCTAGTGACACAAACTCTATGTGCCTGTTCACAGCTAGAAGGGGAACCGTGTCTTTGGTAAATCCTCTTAATGATTTAACCTGCCACAGTTTGGTTTTGTGGAGTTCAATTTTGTATATTTCTTTTTAACATATTTATTATGACTTCAGCATCAAACACACATGAATGCATGCATAGTTGATGTAATTGAATTTGACAACTCCTGTCTTTGGCACAGATTATCAACTCTCATGCATGCTTTGTTATCGGGGTTTTTTGGCTCTGATTTCTTGAAAAAAGAATTGAAAAAAAAAATGGTTAGATTGATGGTGTTCAAAACTGAATTTTTCTAATGTGATTCTGACAAAAGAATATTACTTCAAAAATTTATGAATTTTGTAGGTAACATTTATAATGTATGTGTGATGTCTAGTTTAGGGTGTACCCTAAATTACCATACATTTTCAAATGAGAAAGAAAAACAAAATGATTATTTTTGTATGACTTCGGTGTTACTTCAAATTTAATTCAAATGTTAATAAATGCTGGAGGATTTCTAAGAAAAATACATCATTATACCATTAAATCTTGAATAGAATCTCAAAGGAAGTGATATGTAAATGCAGATGTTGTTTTCGAAAACTTTTAATCAGAGATTTTTTTTCAAGAAATCATTGCCATTGTATTATGGGGACAGGTAATAACAAATGTTTCATTTATTATCCAAAATTGGAAAGTAGATATTGTTCCACTTGCACAACTGAGTACATGGTGTTAAAAATTGATTGTATTATGTGAATGCCGACTGTCTTACTGAATGCAAAGGAATAGTTTAATCGAGGTATTGTGACTTAGCACATGTTAGCTAACTGGAATGTAATCATTCAGGTGGAGGTATTGAAATGTTTTTTGCAGGTTTTATTTGATATTTTTATATAAAGCTTTGTGTACCTTTCAGAAGTCAGTGAAGAAGTTGACACCAAAATGTAAACTGTACCCATGAAATTTTTTGGACGTCAGGGTCTACACTAAATGTGTGAAAATTATTTCAATTCATCAATATTTTTTGTCTGAAATTTCACAATAGTTTGTTGATTTCCCCGACTAGCATCATATATAAATTAATACAGTTAATACAGCATTTAACTTGGAAAATGTCTTGATGCCATGGTTGATATCTTTAGTGCAGTATATATATTCAATTTACCATGCCCAAATTTGGTATTTTAAGTGAAGATCAGGAATTTCAAAGATATGATGTAGTACTTTCTCAAGATTGATAATCACCATCCAGTCTTATGGCTAAAAAATAGCAATAGCAAAATTAGACTGCGGGGAAAAAAAAGAAGGTCGCAAGACAGGTCAAGGTCAAAAGACAGGTCAAGGTCAGGAGTCTGGTCAGTAAGATTAGGGTACATGCATTTAAATGTAGTGAAAAGGACGATAGACACTATGTCATGGAATTCAAGACTATCCTGTTTATTTTGCTGTATTGTGCCCGTAGTACAAAGTCTAGATATCACACCAGTAGGAGGTAGCACTGGTACAGAAGTAGACTAATAGAATAGATTGGCTTATGCTTCTTGCCTTCAGTCAGTAACAGATTTTCAGACGTGTCCTTAGTCAACTATTGCAGCGGTATTGTTGAGCTAGAGTAGTTTTAAAGATTAAAGTATAGTAGTGAACTAGCTAGCATTGTTTATAAGCTTGAAGTATTCAAGTTCATTTGTTTATTAGTAAACTATGATTCAGAAAGATTTATGCAGGTAGAAAGATGTAAGTCTTTCAGTACATGAACCAATAATAGTACTTTTCATATATCTGCAGCAGTACTTGTTACTTTATGTATGTGTTCAGTCATGTAGATTTCAACCCCTATGGATTTCAGCAATAAGAATTGCTTAGTTTGGTAAAATACAACTCTCCTAGATTTTACTTATAAAATTTGTTTAGTCTTGTAGATTTTGATCCCCCAAGATTTCACCTTAAAGAATTGTTTAAATCTAATAGATTTCAACCCTCCTAGATTTCAACCCTCCTAGATTTCCGCAATAAGATTAGCTTGGGTCGGGTTGATTACAGCTCTCCTTCATTTTAGCAATAAAATTCATGTAGTCTTCTTGTACATTTGAAAAATAGGATTCGTGAAGATTTTAACTCTTCAAGATTTAAGGAATAATATTTGGCTAGTCTTGTAGATTTTAGCCCTCCTAGATTTTAGCAAAGAAAAACTTAGTTTCAAGGATTTCAGCCCTCATTTCGTTTTTAATGAATTTCAACCCTTCAAAATTTCAGTTGTTAGAATGGTTTACCTGAGTAGTCTCATAGATTTCAACCCACCAAAATTTCAGCAATAAAAAAGGTTAGTTTTGTAGATTAGAATCCCCAACAACAAATGGTGGGTTGTTCAAATTGCTCTTCATCCATCAAATCTTTTTTATCAATATATTTTGAAAACAATTTGCTGGATCATTTCAATTTTCCTTTATAGGTTCCTCTTTGTCTCTAGTTGCACATTGTTCATTTTGGGACTGATCAGAAAGACAATATCGCCAAATCATGGTCATCTTTGAGTTTGACAGTAATAGTTTGTTACTGCTACTTCCTGAAGCACTGGATCGATCATTCTTGACTTCAGATGGCAGCTTTTCATAGTCCCTAGTTGGATATTGCCAATTTATACTGATCAGAGAAACGAAAAATTTGAAAGTTGGCCCTCTTTGATTTGATAGTTTAGTTTGTTATCACTATTTCTTGAGAAGGACTGAAGCTTAAGCTGAAGAATAGGTCAAAGGAATTCTAGCTTTGTGATAGTATTTGTTTGATGTGCATTTTATGGCAATCCTAGATCACCATTGGAGTCCAAACGACATAGGAAGAATTTTTTATTTGTCTATAAGTAGCGTATGTCATAAAACAATTCTTTAGTATTCTCTGTACATGGTGTTAATATTTAGGATGTTCGTTATGTTGTCATATTGAAGAATTTGACAAAGAGGACAATCCAAGGATTTTTTGTTTTATATACTTGCCACATCGAGAAATTTTATTCGCATTCATTGTCCCACAATCATGACCAAAGTGATAAAGATAAAGAGTTCAGATTTTGGTATTCACCACTCAAATCTACAACTAATCTTGTTATGTGTTTTCGGCCCTGGAAGGACTTGTTTTTGCACTTTGAATTCATTCATTTTGGATGAAAGTTCTATTCCCATCCATGCATATAAACTTCCTTGCAAACAAGAAAACGATTTTTGATTTTGAAAATATGTGTATTTGAAACAAAATCATGAAATGTAGCTGATTGTTTTGTATATTCAAATAAGATATTCTTTTAAATCTAATGTTTGTCATTCATGTATACTGTTATGAATAAAGAATGGTTGGTAGGGTATTTTGGTTTTATAGTCGTTGATCTGCTTGTGTACCATTTATTTCTTTAGGACAGCTAAATCTTCATTTATTAACAATCACTGTAAACTAGAACAAAATAATAAATTTATGCTCTGATTGGCTGTATTAATGACCTCAGTTTGTTTTGTGTTTCAGTAGCCAAAAAGACAAGGACCAGAAATCAGAGCAGAGTCGACCAAAGACCAGTATAGTGACATCTTTAGTGTCACCTCCAGGGACACACCCATTCACCTCAACCTCCTCACCTCAGAGTCCTGAACATGTGATCAGCAACATCCCACGCAAGTACAGTCTCATCAAAGAAGAATCGATAGATGATGATGAGGACAGTGACGATATGGACATGGAGGTGGATCTTAGGTCAGCAAAGTCAGCAGAGAGTCTTGATGACAGTTACTGTCGCTCACATACATCTCTGACTCGTGTCGACAAAGATTTTTTAAACCCAAAACGACCTCTGGTATCTGTAGCGAGTTCCCCACAGCTTCTAAATCAGATCTGTGAGGAGCATGAGTCTGAAGAGGAAGATGATTATGTGCCATCAAAGTTGCATTCCCCACGTCTGCACATGAATCGTAACAGTGCAGCATCCCCAGAGGTGGTCCGGAAGTATGTCACTCGTAAAAAACGTGGCAAAGGGTCAAGGGGGACCAGTTGTAGCAGTTCTGATGCTAGTGATACGGATGACACTGAAGGCAGGTCACGGAAAGACAAACTTAAACATAAATTCATGCATCGCCGAGATAGCAGTGACCATTCTAGTGACACAGACGGCGGCCCCTCTGGCCCAAGTGGGGGAAACCTCGGAGGTGGCCCAGGATTTGGAGGGGGAGGAGGTGGTGGTCACCGTGACAACAAAAAAGATGATGATGGCAATGGGGGTGGTGGGGGAAATAAAAATGGAAAGCGTGGAGGCGGCAGTAACTATGGTAATAAGCGCCAGAACTACCATCACAACAACCTGCAAATGTCTCTTGGACGTAACATTGGAGAACTTGGTGTCAACTCGAATCTGTCAAACCTCAGTCTGAACAGTGTGTCTAGTAAAAACAGCCTTAAGTATATTGTGGAGCGTAATGAGAGTGACAGTGATGAGGATGAGGTCAAGGTCAAGGCTAACAATGACAAACTAGATACTCAGGCTTCAGTGACAGATCACATCAACCAACTAAACTCAGTCAAGTCACGACAGGAGATTATCTCACAGGACTTCAGCAAACTGGCTGACCATGGTCTGAATGAGATGTTTAATGTTAAAAAAAATGAAAATATCAATTTTGTGTGTTCAACAGACTGTTGTCTGAATGGGATGCGTGAAAGGACAGTTAGACACAAGGTCAAGGTCAAAATGGACATTAACAGGAATAATGGGTATTGTAAGGGACATAACTCCAATTTACAACCAGCACGGGTTCAAACCAAATGCTGTTCAGTTGTATGACAAGTGCCCACTATAGTGAGGTTGTAATGATTGATCAGTTTTACCTCAGACACCCTGTTCACATATATGGTATTAAGTCATACATACAAACCACAGTAGAATCTGTTTTGTCTGTGGTGCTCTGTACATTCTCTGGTACAACTAATCTATATTCTAACTGTAGGATATTTAAGGTCTGGACTCCTGCATTCATCTTTCTCTCATACTCATTATTTATGTGACTTTTCCCCCCCAAATAATCATTACTCATGTAAGCATACACAATAAACAAGTTTTGTCATTTTGAACAAAAGACCTTTAGAATAATTAACCATGTGTTGACAAAGATTTATGAGAGAATTTTATTTTAGAAAATGTGTACTAGAGAATGACCTTTTCTTAGTGAAGATGGGGCATTTTGTAAGTATATGGCTTTGCTAGGTTGTTTCTTTACAGACAGACCTGTGCGAGAAGAGTATTGTGACATCAGCACGGAAGCATGATGCATCAGCTGTGGTAACTACAATGTGTTCACAGTATCTTGATGAACGTAATAGATCTAGTGATATTGTGTTGTCTATGACCATTTGGCTTTCAAAGCCGAATTGAAATTGATGAAATTACAAATGTATGTTGTATTCTAAGACATAACACTTCTGGTGTAAGGATCGTAGTCACTTATCCTCTGATCATCAAATCCATTTCAAGACGAAAATACTAATTGAATGTAGTAAGGTTAATATGATGAAGGAGCGTTTTTGCTGCTGAGAAGATTTCTTGTGTTAAGAACTGCTGTAGCAGCAGTATCAGTGATTTAGCTACATCTCACACTGTAAAATATATAACGTGGACCCTGTAACAGGTTTTCTTCTAATATGTATAATGTGATATTTTTGAATCCACATTTGAAAGTTTTATTAGTCTAGGGTTTAGATATTGACTGTCTGAATGGGATTGTCTTCCATTAGCCTTGTCTTTGTTCCCTCAATCCTGTGTTATAACACACATTTTTTCATTAATATGTCTTGTCATACAACATTTAAGGTACTCGTTATAAAAAAACTGAGTATGCAAAACATTCAAGTCAGGAATCTAATGCCTTTCAAGAATTTTATCATATATATCTATACATATTACCAGATGGCTTAAGGTGTTGTTATCATATGTATGGCATTAGCTATATATCAATCAGGCATAGCTTTGTTATGGCAAGATAAATTCATGAGGAGATTCACTTTGAAGTGAGTTGTAGGGCTCTACACTACCATGTCGGTTTAACAGCTAGTACTGTTCCGAATTCTCCCAAACTGTATTGGTCGCTTTCATACATGTACCAGAATGTGACTTACTTCGAATACTTTTATGTACGAAAAACCATGGCTGACCATTAGTCATATAAGATAAGAACAGAGAATTATTTTTAATTGATAATTGGCATTAAAGATCAATTTTCTGAATACAGGTAGATGCAAAGACAGGTTTGAACTTAATTGTTTTGCACTGCATGGACCAATTTTCAGAACTCATATTGTTTTTTCTTCTGTTTAAGAGTTTTTCTGTTTATAAATGATACAGCCAATGAAATACACTGCATGTTTTGTTTTTTTTTCCAATTTATTATTGATTATTTTTCATTGTTTTAACAAATATTTGTTGTAACTTAACCTATTCAGAAAGAAAGCAAGTTGTGGATCATGAAAATTTGCCATGCAGAGACAACACTTACAAATGACATGAGTAAGACCCCTCTTCAGACAGTTGACTAAAGCTTAGTTAGGAAGGATCATCTTTTGAAATTCATAAAAGTTTCTGTAAAAATAATAACAAGTACATTTGCACTTCACATTACTTTTTTTTTAATTTGTTAATTTAAAATGAAAGAAGGAATTAGAACAAGCAAAGATGAGTAGTAGAATAATTAGAAATATATTTATCTTTCTTTCATTTCTAAGCTCTCCTGATTGAATTAAATTCTATTGAAGTATAACAAAAAGAAATATTTGGTCACTAAATCTGTCAGATTTGGCTTTACATATCATATCGAGCTAAGCATGAGATTTTTCACATTCACTCTGATATAATTGTAATATGTATTGTATAAAATTTATTGTAATATGTATTGTACTAGGGGAAGACTTTATGATGGACTTAAAATTAATATTGTAATCAAGGAATTTATAAAACAAAAAAAAAAAAACAAAAAAAAAACAATCGCTTTGGAGAATAAAAACCAACAAGGAAAGAAATCAAATTTCAAAACTGATATGTGTGGTTGCTCTTTGTTTACTTTAATAGCAAATATTTGCAAAGACATTTTCATTTCAGAGATTAAAGTATGTGTGATTATCCAAATTGATAGATATGAGACGTGATCAAATAAATATGATTAGGGTTATCTCCTTCATATAAGTGGAATAATAGACTGGACAAATATAAGTTCTTTTAACTTAAAAATCAATCTGCATAGATGTATAATAAAAAGCATGCAGATAGAAAGTTTTGCAAGGTGCTGTCCATTTTTTTAACACAATTTCACTTTTGTTTATGTTTTTGATTCTTGGTTTGTGTATAAGAAAGTGTTACACATTTTTAACTGTACATGTATCTTTACATGTATATAAGTTCATATACAATCATTTTAAAACATGCATGTGATTGATTGGATTTTATTCATGTACATGTTTTTGCAGGATCTCAGCATTTTCTTTTTAACATTGATTTTAATTGACTTCCACACCATGCATGTTGAATTGTTTCATGATATTAAATCTTTTTTTAAATGCCACACATTTTATCTGTAGTATTTAAAAACTACAGAATTGTCTGACATACTCTTGTAGGAAGACCTGAAGTAAACATCCATATCTTAACACGATGTAGCTGCATTTTTCTGTTAAACTCAAAACATCTGAGTATGTTAATTGCCAAATTTGAAATATCTATTTTCATACTTAATAGATACAAGTAGTAGTAAAACAGGGCGTATGTAACTTGAAGAGTGTCTGTTATGCTATAATTGTGCCAAAAACAGGTCCTTCAAGATGCGCACAAAAATAGAATTTTGCAGAAATATGTTCTTTCATTCGAGGTCAATCTTTAAGTTTAATATTTAAAACATATCAAATTCAACTTTTTGTGATATGAAAATACTTGAAAAGTGGAGTATCTCTTTGATGTGTCAGTCCACCACCAAATGCCATGGTTTCATTTTAACCTCCTCTCCTGATTTGTGCTTTGAAGTGATGTTACAGAAAATGGGGACCATAGTTAGAAACTGGATTGATGTATCAGATATTAAGCAGATTAAAAGCATATAAAAATCTCAGGGTATTTATTCTAGGGAAGAGTGTGTTGCTTTATTCAATTATGTAGACAGTAAGAATTATATACCACTGTACTGAAAATTTAGTTGTCGAAAAAGCATCATTTGTGTACAGGGAATGTTTTCCTGATTTTAAGTACAATCACAGTGTGTGGATTTTGTCTAGATAGATTTTGTATATAGTGTACCTACCTGTATAATTTCAACATAGTGTGAACATCTTTAGTCACATAATGAAGGCACAACACCCAATGTTAAAAGTCTATCCTTATCCAGTATGTGATTCTATAGATACCATTGTCTGTTTAGGTCTGTGGTGGTTTTATGCTGCCAACTGTAGTGAGTATTTAAAGTGACTAGAGAACCTTCGTCAAACAATTACATCAAACAAGGTCTTTAGGGCCCTGAGCTTAGGGATGACAATGAAACTGGAGTCTTTTGCTGACACTGTCTGTTTTAAGTTGTGGTCTTGTGGTGTATAAACCAGCTAGTGCCAACTGGAAACTCATTGTTCAATAGTACAGGTTGGTAGTTGCACAAATGGATACAGAATTGTTGTTGGTCTGTTTCTGTATTCTGTGTGTAGTTGAAGTTCCCTATGTTAGATTAATACGATACCATATACCTACCCTAGCTTGTCTTTCCAGTTCTGTAAACATAGAATAGATAATATTTGTATGAGCTTTGAATTGATAAGAAAAAAAATATATTTAAAAGTTTTACTTGTTTTGATGAGAGTGTGATGGATATTTTCTGCTGTACCCTAACCTGGATGTTGATTTAAACGATAAAGTTAACTTATATAGATAACATTGAATATCTCTACACGACAAAAATGCAGCCAAATTTGTAATTAACAATAACTGAACTTTAGAGAAAATGATAAGTGTTGAAATTGTCAAACCTGAGAAAGGAGTTTTCCAGGACATTCTTGTTACAAATTTGTACTTAAAAACGATATGTTTTAAGTAACTTGTTCTCCTGTTGGATTATTTAAAACTTTGACCAAATTTTTAAGGATTTATATCAGAGGAACCTCCACAACTCTACAACCATTCTGTCCTGGTCATTTTATTCAGCCCCACAGCGCTACTGTATCATCAGTCCAAATTTCTTTCTTCTCATTCCTCATTGAATTGGTGGAATATCCAGGTTAGTGCTATTTCTTTGTAGTGTTACCTGGAGGTTTTGTCTCCGCCTTCATTAAATTGTCTGTGTATAGTCACCTCAATTTACTTATATATGGTTGGTCTCCTTCACACCTTCATCCTCATGGAGTATTTAAATAGAAATATTCAATTTGCTTTTGTTTACTGAAGTAAAGAGTACATGCTCTGCATCAACAAAAGTGAAAAATAATGCATGTTAAATAGTACTATGTTAGCATTTAAGTTGATTATGTCAGAGTTAACCAGGAAACATTTTTCATTGATTGCCACACAGTGATATTTTGTCAAATCATTTTTGTTGATTGGATTTTCTCTCTTTTTTTAAATCAGTTCTAAGAGTTGAATTTAAGTTGGCATTGATTCCTAGAGTTGAAACAAGTTCATTCCAACTCATTGTACTGAACTATGAAGTTTGTTTTTTCAGTGTTTTGTGTTTCTGCATTGGGACTGTTACATGCATGTCATTTTCACAAGCTCTTCAACACTATCCTTTTGATTTCTAAGGCCTTTCTTTTGTACCATGTATGGTATTTGGCTCAGTTTTCTTATTCTGCTAGGTTGGCCTTCATTATAATAAAGACATTTGACATAATATATTAAGATATGATCCGTGTCAAAATGTGAACATTAATTCTACTGTTGGAGTTATTCCCCTTTTTTATTTATCCTAGATTACAAAGTGATAATTCTGTGACATTATCAGGTATTTTGTTTTAAGAGTGTTTTTACAGAGCTGTTGTGTTTAAAAGTTCAAGGAGCTGGTCTCCGTGAAATGTAATTTTTTATGTCAGATATGATAGAATTGCGTCAGGTTTGACGGCCATCTTTGTTTTGTGTCGTGGTACATAGTGTGTGTGGTGAGGGGGTGTGGCTATTGTATAATGTACGTTGTACTGAATGGTGTACACTTTGGATAGCTTACTTTGTAATGTTGTGCACATTTGAGGTATTTTATTATGTACACTCTTTGCAGCTACATAATATTCTTCAAATGCAATTCTCACATAGCATTAACAGTTATCTCTCAAGACATGATTGTCTAAATGCCTTTGTGTCAGAATAAAATTTTCCCAAAATACCTATTCTCTAAAATCAACTTCTCTAAATGTTATTCTGTATATACAACTTTCTCTAACATGTTTTCTATAAACATCCTGCTTTTCTGAATACATTATTTTGTAAATAGTATTTTCCCTGAGTACACTGTCTTCTAAATATGTTCTCTCCATACTTTATTCCTTATTACACTCAACCCTGTGATAAAGAGTGCACCACTATACAGTGTACATATTACAATTGTACAGTTTATATATCTGTCCTGTACTCTGTAGACAAGATTTTGTATATATACTACATGTATGTACATAGTGCTGCACAGTGTACCTCGCACGACACATATTGTCTTAGTCTTGCATACGTTGTACATAGCACTATAGGTATGTAGGAAGTACTTTTGTACATAATTTTATTGTCTTGTACAATACTCCTTAAGAAGAGAAACAAGTTATAGTTGTTATTGGTATATACTGTTCAGCACTTTAATTTTCAAAAAAAAAAATAGATTTTTGTTTGTGTTTTGGGGTTGGGTTTTTTTCATTCTTTAGGGGATGGGGGCAAGGAAATTGGCATCCTAAAGCTTTATCAATTATCACTCCAAACAGAAACAATTACAATGTTAAGACTTTGTTCTTTACTTTTTCTGTTCTTTATGAAATATCGGTACGATTGCTTATCCTTGATGAAATATAAAGTTAAAAATCCAACTGGATAAACTGGATAAAACTATGGAAATATAGGAACAGTGTATGTGGCTGATCAATGTTTATGTAAATACTAATTGTTATTTGTATGGGCAACCAGCATTGTACTTGTTTGTTTCTTTGTCTGTGTGCTGCATAAAGGATGTATATTTGTATAGCAAAACTGTGACAGAACATACACACGATGTTGTGCTCTTCACCAGGTGGAGTGTGTGAGCACATCTTGTTGGTCATCAGCATGTCACATGTTAAGCATGCTCTGCAGTTTCTACTTTCTGAATCACACATATTTTGCTATAAAGTAATGACAAAATTGTATGATCTGAATGTAACATGCTGGTGTTTTGTGAAGTTCAGGTTGTTTGAAAATAAGTCTTAAACATATGGTGTATTGTGACAAGGCATGATGGACAGTGCCACTCAATATACCGAAAGTAAGGGTATCTTCATATTTTAAGTCGGAAGTAATGGCTTAGCATCATGGTATTTTCTACCACGGAGATCAGTTTTGCTTTAAATCATAACTCTAGGAAAATGAGAGTTTGCATATATATTGGACAGAGACGTTTGCATAATGGATCTTATTTGTACATCTTTTAGTACAAATATATGTCATTTAATACTCGGAAAGTGAGATTGGTTTTCTTCTGGGTTGTAACAGAAACATTTGTTTAGAAAAAACACAGTACTTAGGGATCTGTATTCTTATCTTCAACTTAAAAAATATTATGTAGAAACTTCAAAAAGTGTGTTTCATATATGATGTCGCTGTTATCCAACTCATTGTCAATTCGATGTAAAGAATCTGTTGAATAAACATCAAGGATACCCATGTCAAACATCACCGTCATTCTTCTTGTTTGTTGAAATCTTATACATGAAAAAGGATGTTGACATTTGCTATTTACAAAGATTGTTTAAAAGATGCACGCATGTGGGCTGGATAAGTACATTGAAATAAGATTCAAGTGAAAAAATACAGTTAATTACATTTTAAGTTCTGTATCAGATGCTGATTGGTCTACATCAGATATGTTGTTCCACTGAATATCGAATTACTCTGCAATATGTTGCGCGAGAGTGTAAGACAATGTCTTATCAAAGGTGCAGTATTCATTATCATGCAATAAAATGCAATTTAAATGGCACAGGATCATTCCGTGAGCATTATGTGCGCGGGTTTTGATGCTGAAATTTAATATAACGTTTATAGCACTTTGTTTTAATCAATACAAGGATTTATGGAACTCTGATGCTGTCTTTATTAACTTCACTCAACGAAACCTTCATCAAAAGTGCTGTAATTGTATACATGTAATGTGAATAGTGATCAAAACTGCATCCTATTGGACATGACAGATGCTAGATGTTAAATGTATAAAAATCTAAAGAGGGAGAAAAAGTATCAAAGCGGAAGTCACCAAAACATAATATTTCAAATATATATTGAACAATGTATTTATATTTAAAGAATATCCATAAGTTATGATGCTTAGAGTTAGTGAATGTAGCAAACTATTATTTGCGTTCATCGGGCATATTGATGTACAAGACGATTTCATATTATCCAACGCCGTTTTGAAACTTTCACCAACTCATCTTTTTCCTCTATGTCAACCAGGTATTGGCCATATCGGAATCTGCATAAATTTGGAAAAATGCTAGAACCGCCTATTTCCTTACTTTCAACACGGAATAGATATCTATATCTAAGTCTGTGCCTTAGATTGGTATTGGAAAAATCCAAATTTATTTTTGGATCAGATGTATTGAAAATGATGTTCAGAGGTACGCAACATAGAACAAAATTATAAATATGTTCAGATGTGATCCCCATATCAAATTATTGATAATAAGGATTTTTTCCTCGATGGCACCATGTTACACTTTGATTTCAAAGGCTATGACCAGATATTAAGTTACACGAGTTTCAGTGACACTACGTAAATAAGCTTGTAAAATCTGTAGAATGACAGGCTGCATTAAATGGACCCAACAAAATCCGTTTTAACACAAAATCTCCAACACTGACCGAAAGAATGTGGAAGAACAGCATGTATAACCCACATCAGATCAAGCGTGGAATATGGAGCGATGATCAGGGACCCCTATAGAACCAGAGACAGCAAAATCAGAAAGCAAACAAAGACGAGGTGCAAGATCCATAACAAAAGACTACAAATCCAGAGAGGGAGAATGTATAATAAAACTGGTACAAGAACTTCACCTTCCTTCACTTCAAACAAGAAAACTACACCAATGTTTAAATTCTTGTATAAAATTGTTGAAGAGCAGTTACCAGCAATACCTCCTGAGCAGATTTTTACAATCCAAAAACATAGAACCAAGGCAAAACATACATGAAAACTGAAACATCCAACATTGTGACATTATCTTTTAAGAGATAATAATAAATCAGTAGTTACTACACCAGGCAAAACAGTACAGAGATTCCCTTACTCGTGCACACTGCCAATGACTGGAACCATCTAGAAGACAGTGCTGTCTCAAACACCACGCTAGATTCAAACTCGACCTTGTGAGGCACTGCGGCTAGAGCGCTCTCCCTCCGTCATATTATAGCCCAACCGGTATCATATATACAAACTTGAGAATCATATATCAAGTATTTCTCAATGCAATAAAACACAATTAAACAAGTCATTTTGACAGATTACGCTTGTTACTGCAACTTCCTGAGAAGTTATAATTTTATAGATGTTTTTCCATTCCAGATGCTTCTCCCTGATTGTGATGTATTTTGAGACGGACAAAATATCTTTTTGATATGACACGTCCATTTTTTGTAAATGTGCCCTGGTCCCTAGTTATATACATGTATTACAAATGACAAGCAGCCTTCTTGGACTTGGATGGTTATAATTTGTTTAATTGTGTTTTATTGCATTGAGAAATACTTGATATATAATTCCCAAGTTTGTATCTATGATATCTAGTTTTTTTGCCTTTAGATGTGCGCTCATTGATCCCAAGATGTGGATATTTGAACCAATTTCAAAGAAAAGAACCCTCTCACAATGTCGTAAATGTCTGTCTGGGAGCTATAGTTGAACCAACTTTGCATTGGCTTAACACATCATCCGTCTCTCAACTTGATCAACTTCAGTTCGTTTTTGTGACAGCTGAAATCAACCAATGTTTCAACATTTTAATTCCATATGTATGTTCACTTCGACCTACCAACCTCAGACAAGCGAATGCATAATAGTTCGAAGTTCAAGGTCACTTATTGAAGTTGAAGTCTCGCCCAAATTTTGTCACTGCAAGTTTACATACAGTGTCATCGGTCTGGGCGATATATATAGAAAATACTCTTTTTGTGGTAATTTTCCGCCGGAGGTGGATTATGTTTTCGCATCGTAAAGTTATATTCTGATTACCACTTTATTCCTCTATTTCGATGCATCATGCAATCTTCGGCACTTTGACTACATTTTATTGGGAAAACTAGGAAACCGTATGATAATGATGGTAAAATTACATTTTATTGGGGAAAACTAGGAAACACTATGATAATGATGGTAAAATTACATTTTATTGGGGAAAACTAGGAAACCGTATGATAATGATGGTAAAATTACATTTTATTGGGGAAAACTAGGAAACACTATGATAATGATGGTAAAATTACATCTTATTGGGAAAAACTAGGAAACCGTATGATAATGATGGTAAAATTACATCTTATTGGGAAAAACTAGGAAACGCTATGATAATGATGGTAAAATGACATTTTATTGGGAAAAACTAGGAAACACTATGATAATGATGGTAAAATTACATTTTATTGGGGAAAACTAGGAAACACTATGATAATGATGGTAAAATTACATCTTATTGGGAAAAACTAGGAAACCGTATGATAATGATGGTAAAATTACATTTTATTGGGGAAAACTAGGAAACCGTATGATAATGATGGTAAAATTACATCTTATTGGGAAGAACTAGGAAACCGTATGATAATGATGGTAAAATTACATCTTATTGGGAAGAACTAGGAAACCGTATGATAATGATGGTAAAATTACATCTTATTGGGAAAAACTAGGAAACGCTATGATAATGATGGTAAAATTACATTTTATTGGGGAAAACTAGGAAACCGTATGATAATGATGGTGAAATTACATCTTATTGGGAAAAACTAGGAAACCGTATGATAATGATGGTAAAATTACATTTTATTGGGGAAAACTAGGAAACCGTATGATAATGATGGTAAAATTACATCTTATTGGGAAAAACTAGGAAACCGTATGATAATGATGGTAAAATTACATCTTATTGGGAAAAACTAGGAAACCGTATGATAATGATGGTAAAATTACATTTTATCCGGAAGAATGTTAAAGAAAGATGGAAAAACTAGCAATTTATCAGTAAAATTAAAATTTGATTTTACATTTTAAAAAATCTTCAGCAAACATAAAGTGATGGTGTAGAATTGACACTTTATCTGAAAAAGAGTAAAAACTACGGTAACGATAACAAACATACAAATACTGATTTTATAAATCACTAGAATATAAATTTCATTCTGTTGTTACAATTTAGAGTCTGCCATCATTTTTTAAGTACAAACTTTTTTTCCTTTTTATAAACAAGTCTAGTAACTAGGGTTACTATTGTACACTTATTTTGGAACTGTGACCAAAATCTAATTCAAATTCTATATACGTGTTTTGAGGCATTGCCTATACATTTTACATTAACAAACAGGTTATTCTGCATATAAATTGAGTCTGTGCACAAGTCACTATATATTGATTTATCGGTGATAGATTTTGTAACCCCTGAGCATTATGAAGTCCTAACGTCAGCTAAGGGGAGATACATTAAAAAGACAAACAAACATGTGCAAATATATTTGTGTAAGGCTGCTTGCATTCCTTTCTCATATTGATGTCCAACGCCGATTTATAATTTGATGTAGAATTGTGGTGATTTATTTATGATTGAGAGTCAACTGGACCTACGCTGTTTATATGCCTACATAAACCGTTCTTATTTCAGTCTAGTTAACAGTGGCATTACTGTGAACATGTAGATATCTTCATGACGAATTTTACACTTGTAAATTTTCTGTTCCGTAAGCAAATATTAAGAAAAAAACATGATAGAAAACTGTTGTTAAACTCCTATAAGATTTCTAAAAAGATAAATTGTATTTCTTAAAAATGTTAGAAAAAAATACATAGGTTAAAGACGAATAAAAAAAACCAAGGAAAAATAAAGGATTCCATTGCTTTGTAACGTTCTAGAGATGTATATGTTTTACGACATTGTGAAATGCGTACATATTCATTATTCAACAGTAAATCACTAAACTTTCGATGTTATAAAAAGATAATCATTCAAAGGTATAAAGATAGTGTGATATCCACCAAAAGCAGTGTTAACTTTCATGTATCACTTCTTTGTATATCAAACGAGTGTGACGAGTGTTATTTGTAGGTCACACACGGTTTACAATATCGTTAAGCGGACATTACAACGCTCATTTTAAATAATGAATTGCCATATTTCTCATTTAAAATCTTTTTGATTAAATCTTTTTCTTTCCCACTATAGAATATAAAGCATACACTTCACAAAGTCACGCACACATTTAATATAATCCTAATAATCTATTCAGTAGATGTCAAAAATAAACAAAGCAGCACGGAACAAAAAAAACGAAATTCAAATAGAAAATGAAGGTAATTTATACTACTAAATGTTAACCTTCTCCTGCTTGGCAATGCGTAATATCATCATGCATTGGTCAAACTATGATATATGTTTACTTCATCCTGTTGACATGGCATTTAAAGTTCAG